CTGCCCCAAGCCCAGCCCCCCCCTCCCATGGTGCAGCCTGGCCAACCCCTCCCCCCCTCGCCTCCTTTCCCCTCCTGCAGCGCGGCCAACCCCTGCGGGCGCCTGCCCCGGGGCCAAACCCTCCTCCCGGCCAACCCCCTCCTCTCCCGCAGTGCGGCCAAACCCCGGGGCCAACCCCCGCTCCCGCAGCGCAGGGAAGCTGCCGCACTCCTCCTCCAGGGCCGACACCCCCTCCTCCAGCACGCAACAGAGCTGTGGGAGGGGAGCAGCCCACGCACTTCCAGAACCCCCGCAAGTGACGCAGGCTTCAGACAGGACTTCCATCCACCCCGCGGCAAGCCTGCACTACACTAGAGGTAGGTAGTGGGGCTTCTTGGGGGTAGGGGTGCCCGAACGCCTTGTGATCGACTGGTCGAGGCCTTGAGATCGACAGGTTGGTGACCACGGGTCTTCTCGTTATACTACACTGCCTCCTTAATCAACAATAGGTCACTCTACTAGTACAGACAAGGCCTAAAAAAGATCAACCTCAGGCCTAGGAGAAATATTTGATATGCCAAGCATCTGCCCCAGAGGGTAAGTCAATATGTTTTGAGATTTAGGCCCCAACACATGAAGCATTTGCTGAGAATGGAATGTGCTAATGCATTTTAGGTCTGCTTCTCACTATCCTTGGTTTCAAGTTGTCTCATATCAACACTGATGTCCCTATTCCTCTCCCAGAGTTGGTTACTAGAAGCAGGTCTGAATAGAACTCTGGCTATCTTTAGTCAAAGAGACATTGTCTGGGAGAGGGGTAATCATCCAGATGCGATGTTGTGTGTGGGCAGGGTCTGCACACCGGCAGGCAGCTGGATTGGGAAGGGATAGGTTCAGTTCATCAAGAAGTAGGCAGCGTGGGGACAGGCAAGAATAGGATCAGCATGCACTTGTGGAAATTAAGGTGTCTGTCAGAATGGAGTTGGGATGTTGCTTAATGGAACAGAGTTAGCAAGAGGAGTGGAATAACAAGATAAGGCCTTAGGTTTGCTCCACGGGCTGGTTGATGGAGTTCATTCATGCACTGGCTGGTCAGGGTGGGAGAGTGTGGTACACAGACAGGGGTGCAACGGTTTGCTCACAGGTACGTGGCAAGGTGTTGTTCATTGGGATATGGCATGAATGGCGGTACATGATCTCAAAGGGGAGGGAAAGTCATCTACTACTAATTGGTCACATGGGCAGCTGTGAAGAAAGGGCCATCCAACCAAATCCTGTCAGATTGGCTGCATGCATAGGGAACTCATCAAGATATGACCATGTCATAGAGTTTTAAGTCCGGAATGGACCAACAGATCATCTAGTCTGATCTCCCGTAGGTCATAAGCAACCAGTACCCATACAACCCAAGAACTGAGATTAAATCTTAGTATACAGCCCACAGGATAGCAGAGTACTATGTGCTACAGGCAGACAACAGAAAGGACCAAATGCAGTAGTGCCCAACACCCTTGCAATGGCAGGGAAAGGATTGGACAGAGAAATGGATCTGGCATAATATTTCATCCACCAGGTTAGTCAGGGCATAGGAGCATGCACAGAGGGTGAATCAGAGGGAAGCGACCTATCTAGAGACCAGGCATGAAGGAAGCAGTCACTAGAATGTGGTTAGATGAGGGCTGCTGCCATGAGATCACTTGTTGGGATCATAAAGCTGTCCAGAAGCTATGATCTGGGAAGTCAGGGGGTGGTAGTTATTTGCCAAAAACTGGGGGGGCAGATGACTGAAGAATTGTGTTAATAGCAAGAACAAGAAGCATATGCTTCATTGGGCCAGTGGTTTTCAAACTATGGTGATGACCCAGTACTAGGTTATGGAATGTCAGGTGCTGGGTCTCATTGTTGCAGGCGGATCAGGTGATCAGTGGGGGTGCTAAGGCAGGCTATCTGCCTGTCCTGGCACCGCTGACTGTGTTGTGCTACAGAAGTGAATGGCAACAGGCCCAGCTCCTAAGTGGGGGGGAGGGGAAGAGGGCACAGGGCTCTGCACACTATCTCTGCTCTGAGCACTAGCTCTACACTCCTACACTGGGTACCTGCTTCTGGAATGCAGCATGGTCTGAGGAGCCAAGAGAAGCAAGAAGCCTGATTTCGCATCCCCGCTGCACCTCTGACCAGGACTGCTCCATCCCTGACACACCCAATGCTAGAGCCCCCTCCTTCACTCCAAAGCTCTCCTCCTCGGCCCCACCCTGGAGCCTACACTCTAGTTAGATTATATTGGGTTGCAGCATCAAACATTTTCTTCAACTAAGTCATAAGAAAAAAAAGTTTGAAAAGCTCTGCATTAGGCTACTGGGCAGAATGTCAACAAAGAGAGTGGACAGCAAGGAGGAGAGGAAGTACTTACCAGCTCAGCTGGACAGAGTAACAAGGGGTGGGGAAGAAAGTGGCATTACCGGGTTGACATGGGTTACTCACCGGCACACGGTCTGGGTATTTGGCTCGGATTTTTGCAGACTCTACACATCTGTGCTCTGTGAACAAAACATTTAATTAGAAAACGACTGGGGCAGACCTAGAAGGAATAGGAGGGATGAAGGAGACTAGATAACTCAGGAGAATTTCCCCATTTTCTCTGCCCTGACAATTGCTTTCATACCTCCTGATCCTACGTAATTGACTTTAAGGTAACAGAATTTTTTCAGGTGGAAACGCAGCACTGGTGACCCCAGGCCATATCTCTAACAGTCAGCAGGGGGAGGGAGACAGGGCCAGCAGCC